AAAACGCTGAGGAGCACAGTTCTACTATTACACACACGGGGGCGCCGTCAGTTGGAACCAGCAACATGGCAACTGGTAAATTAGGTGTAATGATACTTTACTTATCAGGTTGGTGGAGTAATTAAAAGAAACAACACATGCAAACCATTTATTGCGGCGGTTGGAAGGCCGTCAGCTCTTAAGAAACAGACTGTATAGATTCTTTCCTTCAACTCTGCTTTATGGGAACTGAACCCAAGACAAGGGCCTGATTAGTGGATACCAACTTACAGTGGTATCTTTCCACCAAAATGTAACACTAACAGTGCTTGGTAGAGTCCTTCCTGGTATGACACTGTAGAATTAAGTGCTGACTGCAAGGTCGGTTTGAACTACAAGGTCTGCGGTTCAAGCCTACCAGCCACTCTTTGGAAACCCTAAACAGGATTAGTATGAATCAGAACAGACTCGATGGCATTTAACAACAACAACAGCAGTGCTTGGTAGCCTAGTGTTATGGAATGAATAATGTTCCCCAGAAAGGTATCAACTTGGCTAGACTATGATGCTCAGTGGTTTGGTGCTTATGTAAAGATTGAATTTGGTAGTTATTTAATGATATAATCATCTCCTCTGATGTTCTCAGCCAGTCATTGTAAGGGGAGTAGGGTGGGTGTAACCCCCTTACTCAGGTCACAGCCTGGTGGGTAGCCTGCATTGCCTTTTATCTTATAAGACCTAAAAGGAAAAAGAAGGGGACAAAAAAGGAGAGACCTCAGTAACGCCTAGAAAGTAGAGCCAGAATGGAGGGCATCTTTTGGACCTGGCATCCCTGTATTGATAACCTCCTAAACCCAGGAGTAGGTTGATGGCAAGACACATAAAGATTATCCAGGGCTATCAAGCCCACAGATATTGAAAGGAGACAAGAATCTTCCCCCAGAGCCAACAGACAGTCTTTCCCTAGAGCTGGTACCCTGAATTTGGACTTAAAGTCTCCTAAGCTGTGAGTGAATAAATTTCTGTTTGCTAAAACCATCTACGTGTAGTATACTTATGATAGAAGTACTAGCTAGCTAAGACACCTAGGTATGGAAAAACACAAAAACAGATCATCTAAATCACAAAGGTTTTGCAACAGAGGCAGTAGAAGTGAAGCAAAGGAGTTTAAGATACTGGCAAGAGCGTGCTTGAAATGGTCAGTCACTGAATTTAAGACGAATTGGGAGTCAGCGTGGCTGATTGACAAGAAGAATTTACATGAGTGGTGGATTAGATGGCCTGAAGCAAAGAAATACAAAACAAAAAAACAAATGCAGTAAGAAACTTGAGCAGGTCTCAAGAGAGGATAAGAGAACCTGGCAGAGCGCGGAATGCCTGATTTAGTCATTTTAGAGATGGGGAAGTTTGTACATGCTATGACCCTAAGACGGGGTACCAACCTACTGCATTTTATTGTAAATGAGAAATTCAGGAATTCCTGATACTGAAATTAGAATGGTTTGTCCATACAGATACTTAGATATTTAAGTCCTAATGGCACTGTGGGGTTGGCATTGGGCTACTAAACACAGATCAGCAGTTCAAATCTATCATCCATTCCATGGGAGAAAGATGAGTCTGTCTGCTCCCATACAATTTACAGTCTCAGACACCCTAGTCAGAGTCACTGTGAGTTGGAATCAGTGGCGCAGTGACTCCATACCATAAGCACTGGACAGGGAACCACAAGGACCGCTTACCAGCCACTCCGCAGGTAAAAGATGAGGCTTTCTGCTCCCACAAAGATTTAAAAAAGCCTCGGAAACTCTATACCGGGTCACTATGTGCCAGGACTGACTCAAAGGCACTTAGGAATCAACTCAAAGGTAGTGGGATTTGGGGATTTTGATGGCAATAGATCCCTGAGCCCTGAAAGAAGCTCTGGTAGCATAGTGGTTACGAATCGGGCTGCAAACCTCCAGGTCAGCAGTTCGAAACTACTAGCTGTTCCACAGGAGAAAGAGGAGGTTTTCTGCTCCCGTAAAGATTTACAGCCTCAGAAACCCTACGCAGGGTCACTATGAGTTGGAACTGGCTCCACGGCACATAACCACCACCACCAGGAGCCCTGAGAAGTGATTCAATGGAATGTGGAAATCATCGGATAATATCATTGATATCCCATGCAAGTAAAATTACACTAAAGATAATACAGAAACGCTACAGCCACCCACTGACAGCTTCCAGAGGTTCAAACTGGATTCAGAAGAGGACATGGAACGAGGGATATCATTGTTGACATCAGCTGGATCTTGGCTGAAAGCAGAGAATACCAGAATACCAGTGCTTTATTGACTGCACAAAAACTTTTGATTGTGTGGATCATGACAAGCTATGGACAACATTGTGGAAAATTAGTATCCCAGAACACTTAATTGTGCTCATGAGGACCCTATATATAGACTAAGAGGCAATTGTTTGAAGAGAACAAGGGAAGGTTTAAAATTAGGAAAGGTGTGTGCCAGGGTTGTATTCTTTCACCATGCTTATTCAATCTGTATGCTGGGCAAATAATTTGAGAAGCTGGATTATATGAAGAAAAACATGGCTTCAGAATTGGAGAAAGACTCATTAACAACCTTACCTGCTGAAAATGAAAAGAACATAAAATGCTTATTGATGAAGATCAAAGACCACAACCTTTGGTGTGGGTTGCATCTAAAGAAAACAAAAATCCTCACCACTGGACCGAAAAACAACATCCATATAAATGGAAAAAAGATTGAAGTTGTCAGAGACTTCATTTTGCTCAGATCAACCATCAACACTCATGGAAACAACAGTCAAGAAATTAAACGACATATTGCATTAGGCAAATCTGCTACACAAGACCTCTTAAAAGTGATGAAGAGCAAAGATGTCAATTTGAGGGCTAAGGGGAGCCTGATCCAAGTCATGAAATTTTCAGTAATCTCATATGCATGCAAAAGTTGGACAATAAATAAGGAAGGCCATAGAAGAATTGATGCATTTGAGTTATGGTGCTTGAGGAGAATACTAAAAGTACCATGGGCAAACCAATCTGTGTTGGAAGAAGTACAGCCAGAGTGTTCGTTGAAAGTCACAATGGCCAGACTTCATCTCTCATACTTAGGACATAACATATCAGGAGTCCCAGAAGAAAGATAATATGTTTGGTAAAGTGTAAAGTGAATGGTCAGAGAAAAAGAGGAAGACCCCCAATGAGATGGATTGGCACAGTGGCAGCAGCAATGGGCTCGGTTGTAGCAACAATTATGAGGTTGGCACAAGAAATTGGCAGTATTTCGTTCTGTTGTGCATAGGGTCACTATGAATGAGTTGAATGAGTCAGTACTGACTTAACGATGGCACCTAACAACAAAAGGATCCCTGATGATGAACTGGCTCACTGTGTGGATGCTAACCAAAAGGTTAGCGATTCGAGTTTGCCAGCTACTCTGTAAGAAGCAAATGCAGCATTCTGCTTACCCAAAGATTTACAGCCTTGGGATGGTTCTCCTCTATCCTATGAGCTTCTGACTCATAGGTTCACTATGAGTTGGAATCTACTTGATGCTAATGGATTTGGTTCGAGTTTTTCTTTGGGGGTTAATAATGGTTTGGAAGACTATGAGCCAGGTGTCTGCATCTTTCATTAATAAGGGACAGTCTCAGAAACTCTGTGGTGAGGCAGGGTAGTAGCTGATATAATTGAATACTCAAAAAAGCAAAACTTGAAGCCACCTTCCTGTGTCTACAGAGACTTATACCACTCTTTATAAGGGCTGCATAGTATTCCATGGAGGCTAGTACCACAATTTACCTAACCTTGGGTCCCACGAAACTGGTGGACATTAAGTGTGTTTCCTATTTTTCAAAAATTACAAAGTAAGTGTGAATACATCTTTTCAAATTGTGCAGTTACTTCCTTGGGATAGAGTCCTACAAGGAGAATTGTCCCATCAAAGAATGTGTACATCTTGAGTTTGGATGTTTCTCATCAGATTCCACTCTGGAGAAAGTGTACCACTCAGCATCCCTGCAGAGGAAGCAGATGCGCATGCGTCCCCCGATATCGCCAGGGCTTGAACTTGATCCATTGTTTAAAAGCTTGGCAGTTTGATCGGTGAAACATTTCACTGTTGTTTTAATTTGACTCTTACTGCAGTTGAACATTCTTTCGTTCGTTTGTTGACCCATTTTCATTGTCAGAAGCATGCATGTTTGTAATTAATTTGTCTGTCAGAGGTTTTCTTTTTCTTGATTGGTGCATAATACTTTTTAATACTGTAGATTTTAACCATTTGCCTTGCATAACGCTGGTAAATATTTTCTTCAACTTCTCATTTGTCTTTGAGCCAGATATGTGGTGGGGTTTGAAGAATGTTTTGTGTTGTTTACCACACAGAAGTTTGCGATTGTATGAGACAGTATTCATATATCATTATTTTCCTAGTTTCTGTTACGTTTATGTTTAAAATTTGTTAAAGGAAACAATGGCTGGTATTATAGTGAGAAGAAAGGATGTGGAGAGGAGGAAGGATGTGTGTCCAGGTTGCAGGAACAGAGTGGACGAAGGCCTGGAGTCCAGAGCGGCCTTGCGCATTTGTGGGAGTGGCTGTTGACGTATGGAGACAGGGAGCTTCTTGTGGAGGTGGCTGCTTGTGGAGGTGGCTGGGCAGAATCTATAGCTGGGTCCTGTCGTTGCCTGCCTCAGCCTCTCCTTACCCAGGTTCCTCCTAGAGCTGAAGTCTAGAGCCCATGATGGACCTGGACTGGCCTTTCATGAGCAGTCAGGAGGGCTGGAGGGCATTAGTCAGGGTCATGTGATATACCTGAGGGACTGGCCATGACCAAGCAAGCAGAGGAGCCATGGAGGAGGCCTAGCACAGTCAGAGCTGGCAACCCAGGAGGCCAGCCCTGCCCCGAGCAGAGTTGGGAGACAGGCTGCCCCTGGCTGGCCAGATGAGCTGTCCAGCCCAGACCTCAGGCATCCCTGACCTCCACTCCCTCCTCAGGTCTTCACAGGGATCTTCACAGCAGAGATGACCTTCAAGATTATCGCCCTCGACCCCTACTACTACTTCCAGCAGGGCTGGAACATTTTCGACAGCATCATCGTCATCCTTAGCCTCATGGAGCTAGGCCTGTCCCGCATGGGCAACCTGTCGGTGCTGCGTTCCTTCCGCCTGGTACCTGGCTGGGCCCACTGCAGGGGGCGGGAGAGGGGCTGAGGTCACCCCTTAATTAGCCAGACTTTGTCTATCAACAGTGATGGTGATGGGGACCACAGAGGTGGGCAAGACGTCCCCAGATGAGCTCTTGGGGCAGCCACCCTGACGACTTGAAAAACCTTTAGGGTTCACACGAAGGACCCCTTTAGTCCTCCCAGGATCCAGAAATGAACTGGTATTACTGGTAATGCCATTGCCTAGATGGGAAGACTAAGAGAGGTGAATTTCCCAAAGCCACATGGAAAGTAACAGGTGACTGCAGGTCTGCTAACAGTTCAGTTGGGGCTCTGCCTGCCGCCTTTTGAATCAGCATGTCTTTTAAACTTCAATTTGCAGCCACATCACTTAGGATCTTGCTGTCAAATTTCAGGGGAAGCCAAACCTTCTGGTCTGTGGGCCACACTTTGAACTCAAAATGCCTGAGAGGTCCAGATGTGAGGTTGGAGGTCCATGGCGGGAAGGACCTCCAGCTTGGGGCATGGTCAGGGTAGGCTTCCTAGAGGAAGTTCTGAGCAGTGTTGGTGACTTCACTGAGGGATGCAAGACAGTGGCTCAGTAGAGAAAGCCCAGGCTGCAGGCTGTAATTCCAGCTCAACTGCTACGAGCTCAGAGACCTAGACAAGTTACTCCCCCTTTAAAGACTGGCTTCCTCATGTATATGCTGATCTCATGTGGTTATTGGGAGTTCTAAATGAGTTAATCCATCCCCAACACAAAGTCTGGCATATACTAGGTGCTCAATAAGTCTTAAATGTCTGCTCCTTTTCTCTGTGATAGCTAAGAGAAAGAAAAGAGGGAGGAGACTAGGTAAGCCCAAGATGGTTTGCGCTAGCCTATAAGGATGCCTGATGAGATTATATGTGGAGGAGGAAGACTATTCTATGTTACAGGGACTCTATTGGGAAGATCCTGGAAGTGAGACCAACAGGGATAGGAGGCTGATGTGAGGATAAAGAGAAGGGTTGAGTTGGGAAGATGAGTCTGCAGCTATTGGCCGAACTCCCAGAGGAAAGCTCAGTGAAGCTGCCCCCCCCCGCCCCCCCCCCAAGCTATAGAGAGAAACAAGTAAGAAGGGGAGAGGTAAACACGTGTTGGTGACCTCCAAGTTTGTTCCCTGGGCTTTAAGGCAGAATTGGGCAAAGTAAGAGCATCCATGGGCAGCAGGATTCAGAACTCCTCTCAAGAACGCCTCCTCTTCCTTCCTTCTCAGCTTCGGGTCTTCAAGCTGGCCAAATCGTGGCCCACCCTGAACACACTCATCAAGATCATTGGGAACTCAGTGGGGGCACTGGGGAACCTGACGCTGGTACTTGCTATCATCGTGTTCATCTTTGCTGTGGTGGGCATGCAGCTCTTTGGCAAGAACTACTCAGAACTCAGGCACCGCATCAGTGACTCAGACCTGCTGCCACGCTGGCACATGAAGGACTTCTTCCACGCCTTCCTCATCATCTTCCGCATCCTCTGTGGCGAGTGGATCGAGACCATGTGGGACTGCATGGAGGTGTCCGGGCAGTCACTGTGTCTGCTGGTCTTCTTGCTTGTTATGGTCATTGGCAACCTTGTGGTGAGTTGGACAAGGCCCCTCAAACACTCAACAATTCATTCATCCGTCTGGCTACCCACCCACCCACCCAGTCATCCATCTATCAGTTCACTTACCCGTCCTCCCATCTCTCCACTCGCTACTCAGCCATTTATCCATCAAATCATCCATCTGACTGTCAGTCTCATTATTCATCTACCTAACCCATCTAGCCATCCGTGCATCCCCTGATTTACCCATCCTTCCATCTGTCTACTCATTCACCTATTCATCCATCCACCTAGCTACTCACTCATTAGCTATCCATTTATCCACTTATCATCAACCCATCTATGGACTTGCTCATTCTTCCATATGTCTATATGTTGTTGTTGTTCAGTACCATTTAGTCAGTTTTGACTCACAGTGACCCCGTATAGGGTTTCCAAGGAGTGACTGGTGGGTTTGAACTACCC